AGAGGTGCGACCTTGCACATTCCTAACCTCCGATAACAGTCCATCTTCCTGGCCTTTGATAGTGCCCCAGTTCCTTCTCCTTTCACTTCCCCCCTCCCCCCTCCTGAAGAATGGCAGAAACAAAGCAAGCAACTACTATATCAATATTTTGATTGCTGAAGGTTCTGACAGCTTCCTTCTCTTCTTCAAAGAAATACTGCAAAGACGGAAGCTTGTGTATGATGATTGGTGTATGACCAAACTCAAACAGTTGCATGGACCAGCAGGCTCCAGTTTGCTCCTCCTCGTATCTGTTTTGAGAGCTCTTGTTATCCTACCCTCTCCCATGTTTTCAGGTGAAAACAGAAGTCTCTAACCTGCCTGAATCCCGTCAAACCTCAGCTGTGTGGACAATATATGCTTATAAAACTCCAGGAAATTCCAGGAATTACCTCCATCTCACAGCAGCAACAGGGAAACAGAAACCTGGAGACACCTTGTTTGTATCCTTCTATCTTGGTGTCAGCAATCCTGTCACTGGAAACCAGATCCGCTACTTCACTTACATAGTAAGTCTGAGAAGCAAAGGAACTGTGCATGCAATCTCACTTCCATGCAATCTCACAGGAAAAAAAATTGTATGGGGAGAAATAAATCAAAGCATTGCCCTACAGCACCTTGTAGGTTATGTTTATTCAGTTCTTAAAATACCTTGTTTGTAGACTGAGTTTATTTTCATGGCTTGCCCCAAAGAATCTTAGGACTGTAGTTTTATCCAACTGCGAAGTCTTCTCCTGTGGAGATCTCTGGTCCACCCATCTCACAGCCCTAAAATTCCCATGAGTGTCTGGAACACATGGAAGGGAGTTACAGTATGTCAGTGTACTCCACAGGCAGCTAGCTTCAAGGGAGACTGCTTTTGCCTCATGCACCATTGACTATGTCACCAGTTCACTTACCAAAAGGTGACACATAGTTCCAAAACAAGACTCTGTTCAACTCATTGGTGGTTTGGCTTGTAATCCTTTGTTCTTCACTCCAGAGATGGTACTCAAAATCACCAGCTTCCTGCTGATGTTAGGAATGAGAAATTGTTTAGCAACTGAGGGCGGGGGTAGATTTACCACTTCCCTCCCAAGGACCTTATTTAAACTTTGCCAGAAACAGCGAAACCAATAACTTTTTAGGTGTTAATTGGGAAGGAGATAATTCTTGTTTCCCCCTTACTCCCAGTGACCCTACTGAAAACAGTTGGAATGAAATTAGGTTTCCCACCCCTTCCAATCACCTTTATACCCCCATAATATAAAGACTATCCATATCTGGTAAGACAGAGTGGCTGTGGGTTAATGGCTCCTCTGTATCCGGGATGGTTTCATTCTTTGTGGCTGGAGGGGGAGCACCGCCCCAAGACAAACCAGTGTGGAATTTTGGGGGC